CCATATATTCTGCTTCTGTGGTTGAAAGAGCTACGCTCTTCTGTAGTTTAGACATCCAACTGATTGCCGTACCTCCAATAGTGAATATGTAACCCGTAGTGCTCTTCCCGGAATCATGACAGCCTCCCAAATCAGCATCGACAAATCCTTCTAGAATTAAGCCATTCTTCCTGAAACATAGGGCAGTTTTAGAAGTACCTTTCAAGTAGCGTAACAGCCACTTAACTCCTTCCCAATGTTCCTTCCCTGGATTTGACATGAACCTGCTAACAACTCCCACTGCATGAGCAATGTCCGGCCTTGTTGACACCATCGCGTACATCAAGCTGCCAACGGCTGATGCATAAGGAACTTTAGCCATTTCTTCTTTGTCTTCATTGGTCTTTGGAGACTGCTGCTTGGAGAGTTTCAACTGACTCCCTAACGGTGTACTCCTTGGTTTGGCATCCGTCATTCTGAACTTCTAAAGGACTTTCTGAATGTACTTCTGCTGTGAAAGCTTTAAAGTACCTTCCACCTTGTCTCTGACTATGCTCATGCCAAGAATCTGTCTCGCCTCCCCTAAATCCTTCATCTCAAATTCTTCGGACAACTTCTTCTTGAGCTTGTTGATCTCCTGCATGTTTGCTCCAGCCACCAACATGTCATCAACATACAAAAGAAGAATAATGTATGATGATTCGAGTTTCTTCAAGTAACAGCAATGGTCCATCTTGCATCTAGTGTACCCATTCCGCTGCATAAAACTGTCAAACTTCAAGTACCACTGTCTAGGAGCTTGCTTCAGTCCGTATAGACTCTTCTTGAGTTTGCACACCAACTTCTCCTTACCACTCACTGGGAAACCTACTGGTTGAGCCATGTAAATGTCTTCTTCAAGGTTGCCATGAAGAAAGGCAGTCTTTACATCCAGCTGCTCCAAATGCAAATTTTCAGCAGCAACGATACCAAGGATCAACCTGATAGTAGTCATCTTCACAACCGGAGAGAAGATTTCATTGTAATCAATTCCCTTCTTCTGTTGGAACCCTTTGACAACTAACCTCGCCTTGTATCTTTTGCTTCCATCTGCTTCATCTTTGATTCTGAACACCCACTTGTTCTCCAAAGCTTTCTTTCCCGGTGGTAGCTTGACTAAGGACCAAGTTTGGTTCTTGTCAAGTGAATCTAACTCATCTTCCATGGCCTTCTTCCACTGTATGGAATCTTTCATGGTCAACGCCTCTGAGTAAGATTCTGGCTCTCCATTCTCGGTCAGCAATAGGTAATTTGCTGAAAGAGAATATCTGTTAGGAGGTCTTCTGATTCTAGTGGACTATCTAATGTGTGGAGTAGATGCCTCTGAACTCACACCATCTTCATCACTCCCACTATTTTCAGACATTCCTGTATCTCCTGAGCTCCCACTGCTCCCTGAGCCTCCAGTCATCTCATCACAACCAGCAGGTTGTGCTATGTCGTCTTCAGTCATCCCGGCAAACACCACTTGTTGCTTGTTTTCTGGTTGCTTGGCTTTGCTAGTTTCAGCTGCAAGACCATCTTTATACAGGGCATTCTCGTTGAAAGTGACATCTCTACTTCTGATAACCTTCTTGCTGTGGTTGTCCCAGAACCTGTAGCCCATGTCATCCATCCCGTACCCAATAAAGATACACTTCTTTGCCTTTGCCTCGAGCTTGTCACTATCTGCATCTCTAACTTTGACATAAGAAATACAACCAAAAACTTTCAAGTGAGTAAGAGATACCTCTCGACCTTTCCATTCCTCTTCTGGAATTTTGAAACCTATGGGAGATGAGGGTCCTCTGTTGATCAAGTATGCTGCTGTGTTCACCGCATCGGCCCAGAACATCTTTGGAAGTCCTGCATGCAATCTCATGCTCCTGGCCCTCTCATTCAGTGTTCTGTTCATCCTCTCTGCAACACCATTTTGCTGTGGTGTTTCTGGAACCGTCTTCAGCATTCTGATGCCCTGTTCAGCACAATACTCTACAAACTCTGTGCTACTGTACTCACCCCCATTATCACTCTTTAAACACTTAATCTTGAGATTTGTTTCATTCTCAACTGCAGCCTTGAACTTCTTAAAAGTGTTAAAGACATCAGATTTATTCTTAAGAAAATAAACCCATACCTTCCGTGTACAGTCATCAATGAATGTAACATAGTACCGGGAACCTCCAATCGAAGAGACCTTTGTAGGTCCGTAGACATCTGAATGAATCAACTCCAGCCGCTCAGTCTTGGGTTGTTGTCCCGTCTTCACAAAGGTTACCCTCTTTTGCTTGCCTAGAACACATGGCTCACAAAAGCTCAACTTTGAATTCTTCAAATCTGGGATTTTGCCCTTTGAAGACAGCATCTTCATTCCGTTCTCACTTATGTGCCCAAGTCTTTGATGCCACAAAGTAGAGACCCCTGTATCTTCAACTGCTGCGTTTGCTCCATCTGTGGACACTTCAACCATGTACAGTGTACCATGCTTCTGTCCACGAGCAATGACCAGCTTTCCCTTTGTCACCTTCCATTGCTTGTTGCCAAAACTGACGTTATGGCCTTCCTCATCAAGCTGTCCAACTGAGATCAACATCTTCTTCAGGTCTGGAATATACCTCACATCTTTCAACCTCCAGGTTGTACCCAAAGTGGTACTGAGATCAACATCCCCAATACCCGTGATCTCCAGGGATTTGTCATCCGCCAAACGAACTCTTCCGTTGTAGGGCCTGAAATTTTTCATCAAATCCCTGCAATGACAAGCATGAAACGACGCACCTGAATCCATGATCCAGGACTCAATTGAATTCTCAACGCTGCAAATTAGAACATCTTCATAGTCCTCTGCCACGTTAACCTCCTTCTTGCCTTTGTCTGCAGAGGCTTTTGGGCACTGATTTCTGAAGTGTCCATTCTCCTTGCAATTCCAACAATTGATGTCCTTCCTATTCTTGGATTGACCTCTCTTCCTCGACTTTGATCTTCCCTTCTTGTTACCCCCTCTAGTGGATTTTCTGCCCCTATCTTCAGTACTCAACAAACTGTTGGAGCTATCCCCCGAACTCCTCCTCCGGATATCCTCACCAAGGATTAAGTCACGAATACCTTCAAAGGTAAGCTTAGTGGTTCCAGATGAACTACTAACTGCTGTGACTGTACCGGACCTACTATCGGGCAAAGATGGTAACAAAAGTAACGCTTGAACTTCATCATCGAATTAAATCTCAACCGAGCCTAACCTGGATATGATTGAATTAAACTCGTTGATGTGATCTGTCACGGATGCACCTTCCTTCATCCTTGTGTTCACCAACTGTCAGATTAAGAAAACCTTGTTGGCAGCTGAGGGTTTCTCGTACATATTGGATAACGCCTTGAGAAGTCCGAACGTTGTCTTCTCGTTGACGATGTTGTAAGCAACGTTTTTCGCCAACGACAACCTCACCACACCAAGAGCCTGTCGGTCCAACAAGTTCCACTCTGCCTCCGCCATCGTCTCTGGTTTGTTCTCAGACAAGGGTAGATGAAGCTTTTTCTGGTAGAGATAATCCTCGATCTGCATCTTCCAGAAAGCGAAATCTTGACCATCAAATTTATCGATCTTAACCTTCCCTTCGTCAGCCATAGCTCTGATACCAATTGTTACGATTAGGCAAAGATAAGCGATAAATTAAGAGCAAGAACACAAGAATTTACGTGGTTCACACAATCGGGTTGATTGTGCTAGTCCACGGCGAACGAGAGAGAGGATGTATTATTATCAGCGTCCCAAGGGGTTTACAAGTACATAAGAGTCGTTTAAATAGGTTTAAGAAAACCTAAACTGAGATTAGAGCCGTAGGCCCTGATTAAAATTAAGCCCGTAATTAAAAAATCCCGTAGACCCGGTCGGGTGCCCCCCTTGACCCGGTCGGGTCTCTTCACAAATTTCATGCCCGGGCTGATACCAGGGCGGGTATCCAAAACAGAAAGTGAAACCTTCGCTGACCCGGTCGGGTCCATCTCCTGACCCGGTCGGGTCTCACGTTCCAGTGAGTTCCCAGGTCTCTGCTTCAACATACCCGGTCAGGTGACCTAATATACCCGGTCGGGTAACTCCTTGAAAATTCAGAACAAGACTCCATCTTCAACACTTAAAGCTAGGAAAACCATCAAAAGCCGATCCCAACACGCATCAAATGCGTGTCTAAATACGAAATTATCACCCCCTATCTGAATGTTGTGATAGTAATTTAAGCATATGTTTTGGCGATAAAAAAATGCTTATACGGGACCATATATGAATTCTTCACAATCTTAATATTTATTGAAATGTAGAAACCATCAAAATAAATATTTGTTATTAAATTTATTTATTCCTGTCACACTTTCAACTCTTTTTACCAAACAAGTCTATTTAATTCAACTACCATTTTAGATTAAGCACTTCAAATTGAAATTCATAATAGATAGTATAATACTACCTCCGTCCCATTTTATGTGTCATATATGTTTTGATTTGACACAATTATTAATAAAATGACTGAAAAAGTAAAAGTTGTAATTTGGATTTGAGTATAATAAAGTGAAATGTTATATAAAACACATTTCTTTCCAAAAAGAAATGTGAAACTTCTTTCGAGACAATCGAAAAAGGAAAATATGACAGGTAAATTCGAGAGAGGGAGTATTGAAGTAGATCAGGCGAGCTAAGAATAAACTCTTGAGCAATCATAGCAAATGTAAAAAGGAAAAAAGAAGAAACTAGGACAAATTCTCTTAAAATTAAGAGCAGGGTTTATAGAGTGTCATCAAAGCAATAATTATTCAAAAATGTTTGAGGTACACACTTTGTGTACACACTTTGTGTACACTCGTCTGTCTCTTAAGAAAATTTTGTCTGTCACAGACAATTCATATATGAGTTGTCTGTGACAGACAAAATTTTCTTAAGAGACAGACGAGTGTACAAAAAGTGTGTACACAAAGTGTGTACCTCTAGCATTTCTCATAATTATTTGGTTCCGGGAACTTCAAGGATAGAGTGTCATTTTTTTTTATATTAAAAGCGGGGGAAGCCGATGGGACATTGGACGTTAGCACAGGAAGCTTTAGCTGGAGCGCCGTTATAAGTGAGGCTCACATCGGCCGGGTTTAAAGCTATGTCTTGACACGGCTGGGCGCGGCTGCAATCCAATTTGACGCCAACCGCCGTCTCCGACGTCCCTTTAATGTCTACAAACGTCACATTGCTGATCATGATGCCGGACTCTTCCCCGGGGAAACAGAGCTGCCGATCAGGTTTTGAACAGTAGCGCTGGTCAATGAGAATGGGGTTCCAAACATTGTCCATCGTCACGTCCTGGACCCAGACGTTTTTCACAAACCCGCTGCTCGCAGCCCTTGCCCATGTCTTGATTCTCACGCCGTTTAGGGTTTCCGTCAACCGAACATTTCGTATCTCTATCTCTTCAACTTCGGAAGTGGTTGTCCCCTCCCCTCCTAGACTCCCAATGCTGCACCACACGTATAAATAACACAGTACGGAGTAATATATTAACCCCGGCCACCACCAACTCAAATTACTTTTATTAATTAATAAAAAAAAGAATACTTATACAGTTTTACCGAACAAAAAAATGATACTACGTATGTTTAATACAAGTACACAAATAATTGAAAAGATACTTTTATGAGCTTTTTTTAGTAACAGTTAGTTTTTAATATAATGAACGAAAAGTTCTTAAAAGAAAATTGTGGTAGTTGTTGGATAAAAAACTGATTATATTATTTAATTCTGCTTAGTATAAAAGGTGTTGGAGCTAATTAATGCTAAAATCTTTAAACTTTTCTTGGACGCTAAATTGACTGTATGTAGCATCTAAAAATAGATCTTTTATTTTTAAAAATCTCTTAAAATTGTTATGTCAAACGTACAACTAGAAACTTTCATTGACTTTTTAAAATTGATTTTTATTCCTTTTTCGTAGTGAAAAAAGTACTATTTCTTTTACTTGTTGACGTGCACTTGTCGTGAGGTGCACTCAAAATAAATATCAATACGACAAATATACGTAGTATATTGAAGTAAGGTTCGTATCCACAGGGAAAGGAATACTTTTCTTCTTATAGAGACAATTAAGTAATAATAAAGGGGGGGGTTTATATTTGGTTGATGAACTTTAAATTATGTTTAACACGAAGATGAACGAGTTATGTAGTTTAATTAATGAGAAGAAGGCTTGGCTTTGCTTGTATCCACTTAATGAAATGTTCGTCGATCCCGGTTATATCTTTAACTATCTTCCTCTCGAATACTCAATCGAGGAGTATATCCAATTCATCGAGGGTAGTTATTAATAACGAGACGCGTTCATTAATAAAACTTACTATCAAGTCAATATAGAACACGCGCCGTATATTTACTTGGTAGTAGCAATAAAATCAAGATGAAAACGATTGAGATTGATAACCTTAACACAAGCGGTTTATCGGTTTAATCAATATAATTAATTCCCCTTGGCTTACTAACCATGAGACGCATGCATTAGCAACCCAAGTTTACTACCGTGAAAGGACCGATTTAATAACAAGCGTATTAATCGACCGATTCTAGTATTAATTAATATATGAAACAAAACTAGTTGATCCTTTAAGCATTGCTCAAAATAGTAATATGTAATAGGAATAAGAATTAATTAATATTCAAGGAAGAAGATCAAAGAAAATAACTCACAACTTACAAATTCATTAAGCTTCAAAGTAGCAAAACCAAGATGGAAGAGTTTAGCTCCTCATTTGGAGACTAAACATGATAAAAATATAAAGAAAGAACTTGTCTAAACTGAGCTTAGAAGTATATAGGAATTGGTATCCTCTTGTGAAGGGAAGGAGGTGTATTTATAGGCTTTTGGGGCATCCAGCTCGGGTACTCGATCGAGTACACTATTATACCCGATCGGGTATATGTAGAATGGTGAATTCGAGCTATACTCGATCGATCTCTGGTGGAAATCTATAGCCATACCCGATCGGGTGTGTCGGTGTACCCGATCGGGTATGACAACAGAACGTGGCCAAATCTTTCCTGGCATGTTCCTTTGTTCCCGGATCATATCTGAGAAAATCAGTTTGGTACCCGATCGAGTATAAGGTATACTCGACCGGGTACAGGTCAAAATCAGGAACTTTCCCTCTTTTTTGTCTTGTATTCTTGCACCTTCCTTCACCAATGATCAGTTGATTGATCTTGGACCTGTTTGAGCTTAGAATGAACCTAATCTAAACAAATTACATGAATTTAACAAATTACGCTATTACACCAAAAGTGTGTAATTTCCGAAATATTAAACAACCAAACTAGCTAAAAACATAAACATACATACGGAAATTACAAGCGTATCACTTGTCAAGGGAGATGACATTATATAAGCCCATGTTAGATTGATTAAGAATTAGCATATGTTTGGCAAAACTAGTTGAAAAGATACTTTTATGAATCTTTCAGTTACTGTTAACTTTTAGTGACCAATTTTTTTAATTAGATGGTAGTTTTTAGAAAAAAAGCTAAGTGTTTGATATAGTTATTTTTGATATACAAGTTACTGGGACTAATTAATGCTATAAGCTATAAACTTTTCTTGAATGCTACTCATTGTATTATGTAAAATTAGAAACTTTAAGAGACTTTTTAAATAGTATAAAATGTATTAAACAATTTAAACATGCACTTAATCAGATATAACAAAAGATTATATCACGAGTAAAGAGTATGTTATGATCACATAAATAAGGTAGATTCTATGGTACTCATAAGGTACCGTACCTTTGTCCACATGGACCAATTAAAATCATGCAGTTGAATTATTTAAATCTAAATTAAAAGGGATTTAATGATTTGGACCAATCAAATGCATGGTAGGTACGATACCCCATTTTTTAAATGGGTACCGGAGTTGTCACCATAAATAAAACCATCCATTGTGTCAGATTTATTCACTTTTGTTCCTTTTTGTAGTGAAAAAATTAAAGTATCACGTTTCTTTTAACTAGACTAGAAAGGGAGATGCAATACATAGTCACAATACCTTATTCCATGGCCGGGACCGCAATCGATGTTTTCAATCCGCACGGTCTTGACATCGGGGCCAATAGAGATGCAGTCGTCGCCGGTTTCCATATCTGAATCAGTGATGGTAACTTGAGAAGAAGATTGGATATGTATTCCGTCAGTGTTGTAAGCGTTCTCCTTTGCTATTAACTTCACATGTCGTATGGTGGCCTTTATTGTCCCCATAATTGTGATATGAAACATTTGACTATCACGTGAGGTTAGTCCCGTAATCCCCACATTCTCCGAGTTATAAAAAGCCAATGACTGAAAAGACATTCAAACATAACAATAAAGTATGCATGTAACAATAATAATTTCTCAAAAAAAGGACGACACCCCAGCCCGAGGACCGCAGTACCGATCGGACAGCTAACTGAGAGGATGTAAATTGAACATTAATCACAAACTGACAAATAGCGAGAGTGACTCAGTCCTGGTACTTGCAGAGGTCGGCCCTATATGCATTTTTACATGGTTAATTCTTCTCGCATTTTCCGTGATTCGAACGTGAGGCTTACCCCTTATAGAACCCTCTATCTACCGTTGATGAGCTACGCCCACCGGAAACAATAATACGAGTATATAATTTCTCAGTAGTTAGGTTAAATCCTAAATTGTATACATCTACCGTTTGACTATTATCATGTTGCTCTTAGAATTACTTGGAACTGAAATTTTATGATCTGGTTTAATATGATCTGATTTAGTTTAGAAATGCAATCAATCCAATAATTAAAAACATTCTTTTGTTGGGACATTCTTTTGAAACCTATGGTATCAACTCTTCTTAATGTCAAGATCCTTGATTGGGATGAGAAACGAACCTGCGACCTCCTCTTTGGGAGATCAGCAGGAATGCCATCATACCACAAGTACTTGGCATAAAAAACATTCTTAAAATGCCCATCAATTACTTACCGAAAGAGCTTGAGGGCATTCATTAAAATAATCACTTGGGTGAGCCCATTTGCATTCCCAAACAGAGGGACCTCCGCCCAATAGGACTCCGCCGTTAATGAAAACGTTTTTGACATTTGAGAACATGATCCATGCGTCGATTTTTGTCGTAGGTGCCCGCCGCACAAGTGTTCCCATTATATTGAACGTTATGCCATGCATGTTGTTGCATTTACCAAGTGCACCGTCGAGAGTAATGTTTCCAAGACTGAAGCTTCCCTCTGGTACGACAATGGTGGCCGGCCCGTTCGACCCGCAAGCCTCATCCCAGGCCTCGAGGAAGGCTCTCGTCGAGTCGCTCAGGCCATCGGGATTTGCTCCGTAGCTCTCGATGTTGTACATTGCATTTATCGCCATTGTAGTAGTCCCTAACAAAACCACGGTTGTCAAAACTAGTGGCAAATACAAACATATTCTCGCCATTTTTTTGTTTTCAGAAAAAGCAAAAGATCAAATTAATAGATAGTACTAAGTACTTAATTATATGTGTCAAGATGAGATGAAGATATAAGAGATGGTGATGTGAAATGAATAAGCTTTGGATCAAATATATGGTGCTTATATAGGCAATTTGAGGGAAAGTTTGATCATGGTAATCGGTGCATTTTCAGATTATTAATTTGTAACAGTTATTATGCTGACAAACTAAAGCCCCAAATTAAGACAATAATTGGGCGCCATCGCCTTTTTAAAAGTTAATTTTTCTACTATGGATATGATTAGTATATGAATGATCTCATATATGACTTAACAAACGTCGTTGCTTGTTTGAATCAGGCGAGCAAGCATGTGACAATTTGGTGGCGGCTCCTCAACGCCAGAAAAATTTTGAGGTGTGGTTAACCACTTAATTTATTATTTATTCATACATAATTTGTTTATTACTTCATCTCAACTCTCAAGTACTTCTGAAACAAAGAGGTGTGCAAATTTGATTTTGTTTTTATGTCTTCACTTAATTGAAATGTTCGAATCAATGATTCGATATCGAATTTACATATTTAGGATATACATTGAAATAAGTAAATGGCCATTTAAACATACACAAAAACCTAATTCATGCGTAGTATTTGATACGTATGTAGTACGTATTTCATAAGAAACTGATACTACTAAGACATTGGAGTAGAAAAGTAAAATTGTGTTGAAAAAAATGTAAATTTCAAATTAAATTAGGACAAAGCAAGGTGAGTAATATTTATGTATTTACTCGGTTAGTTACTCAATTATTCATTCATTCATTCATTCATTCATTCATTCATTCATTCAATATTGTTACTTGGATTAAAATTTGTTGGTCTAGTCTTGTGTGGTCTGGTCTGAGCTGATCTGGTCTGGTAACTGTCTGATCTCTGTGTATTTTATAATTATGGAAGTCTAGTCTGATTTGGTCGAGTCTGTTTAAGTTTAGTCTGGCCGGTGTGATCTGAAACTGAAAACAATCCAAATAAAAGCGTCCTTATTCATTAATTTTAGAGCCCATGAGATGCATGATCGAGATCTAATGTGTCAGAATCTCATTTATGTGCATTTTTTAAAATTTGACTCAAGTTTGACTTGAAATCTAATTTTGATATAATTTCACTTAAAATTTAAAATCAAATTAGGACAAAGCTAGGTGAGTAATATTTATCTGTTTATTTATCCGCTGTTCATTCTTTTTTTTTTGGAAGAAGGTGGCTTATATTAATAAGAATGAGCGTAAGCAGGTAACAAACAGACAAAGAACCTCATGTCTACCGTCTGCCCTTGAACCAGACTTAGAATCTGCCACCTCAAAAGAAGCATCCAGATTCGCTGATCCTGAATTGGGCATACCTGAGCCAATGACTGGTAAACTATGCTCTTCACCATCCTCCTCTGAGTTCTCTTGTTCCTGCTCCTTCCCGCCCCAGGTCCTCCTCCTTTTATGTTTCCCTTTGCCACTGCTTAGTGCCCCTGCATCCTCAGAAGCTACCTCCTCGGTCCTATCCTGGAGCTTTCCCTGTTTGTGGCCCGGACCCTGTCCCTGCACCTCCGTGGAAACACTCTGTCTACCTGTTTGGTCTCTCCTCATTCCGCCTTCACTGAGCAGCCACTGACTACCGCTGGAAGGGCGGGTCCTTCCTCCTCCCGCCCTGAGCCAAGACCCAAATGATTTCACACCCGCTTTTTCTCCAAGCTCATACAGCAGAGGACAAAACTTCTCAGCGTGTCCAATTATACCACTTGCAAAGCAGAAACTAGGTAGCTTCTCATACCTGAAATCTACCCAGTAGCCCTCCCTTTTGCTCTTTTTCAGCGTGAGTCTCACCTTTAGAGATTTTTTCACATCTAGCAAAACACGCACCCGCATATAGGCTTCTTTTTTCTCAGCATACTGGTTATCATCCCAACTCCCAAGAGACATAACTACCCAAATCATTCCCAATCTTACGAGCATACCCTAAATTCGAAAAACCATAAGGGATGTTGTGGACTTGAACCCAAAATTCAACTGTATCAAGATGAATTTTCAAGGGCATGTCACCTAATTTAATACGAAGTAGCTTTTAACACCACTAGATTCTGATCAAACAACCACAGATCGTCATTCAACACACGATTCATATCTATAACGTGATAAAAAGTAAAGAGATACCTCTTTTCCCCGATATCTTAGATGAGCACACCTATACCCGGACGCCACAAAGACGCCATGAGGTCCCGGAAGACCGAGAATTTGACCGCCTTGTCTGTGAGAATCGTGCCTACCACTGGATAAGTATCCGCTTCCTTCTTCGTCGCCTCACCATTGGGTTCGCCCTCTTCATCGTCATCCAGCAATAGCTCCTCCCCCAAATTGTACAGCCCCATCTCATTTATTTTCCCAGTCAGCTTCTCCACCGTTCTGACTCCATCTGCCATAGACGACTCACCTTCGTGGTATCCGCCTGCCGAGCTCGAAGTTATACGACCTCGCAACTGTTCCTGCCGCGGTATTCCCGGACTTATCGTGCCACCCTGTATCAGCGACTCCTTGCTTTCCTCACGTTCGCCGTTGCTCGCCATTCTATCGATCGATCGAAACCCGCACTAGAAACGGCGGAATACTAAACCCTACTGCCGAGGGTATGGCCGCATTTTGTCCGCCATTCATTCTTCTTCATCGATCTTCTTACTTACGCACTTAGGATGTTTTTACTGAAATTTGCTGATCTGATCTGGTGTGGTCTGATCTGATCTGAACTGATCTGGTCTAGTAAATGTTTGATCTCTATGATCTCTATGTATTTTATAACTATGGAAGTCTAGTCTGGTCTGATTTGGTCAGGTCTTTTTAAGTATAGTCCGATCTCGTCTGAGACTGAAAACAGTCCAAGTAAAAACGTCCTTATTCATTAACTTTAGAGCCCGTGAGATGCATGAGCGATATCTAATATGTGAGAATCTCATTTAGGTTAATCTAATTTTGATGTGCATTTTTTAAGTTTGACTTAAGTTAGACTTGAAATCTAATTTTGATATAATTTCACTTAAAATTTAGTCACGGACTTAGTCACGGATTTGTCCGTCACTACGCAAAACCGTGTACATTACGCGTCCAAACCGTGTAAATGACGTGTAGAGTACGCGTGCGAATAATTTTATTAAATTTAGTCACGGAATTAGTCACGGAATTAGTCACGGACATTTCCGTGACAAAATTTATCCGTACAGATTACCGTTGGGAATTAATTTCTGAGCGCTGGAAAATTAAATTTTTTTAGTAGACACGGATTTAGTCACGGATTTGTCCGTGACTAAGTCGCCGGTGTAAAACAAACCCTGCCGGAAACGGAATCGGAGCTATCGGACCATTTTAGTCACGGATCTGTCCGTGACTAATTTATTTTTTAAATATCCGTGACTAGTCCGTGACAAAACTAGTCACGGACCAAATCCGTGACTAAAATCCGTGACTATAACGCTGTTTTTTTGTAGTGTAAAATCCTTTGGTTTAATTAATGTTTGTACATATTCATTCATGTGCATGGCGGTATGACAAAGTTTGGTGTGCAATTCAAAAGTCATTTTGATGATATCAATTACGAAGTACCCGTATTATTCTTCACAAAAATAAGTAAACTTATATAAAAAAAAAAGCATAATAATAAGTCTATCTATTTTTTGTGTGATAAGTCTATCTATTTAATACACCAAATAAGATATAATAGCTTTTTGTTTAAAACTATAGGTGTAGTTAAAAATTAAATGGTGAAAGTCAAAATTCAAATGAGAACCATGCTTAATGTGAGAAGCTTGCGAA